ATTGTGATTATTATCACCTTTTTAGCACTGGAAATGTTTTTACAATCCAGTTTTTCAATCCCTGTTGTCTGTACTGGCTGAGCTACACTGTAAATGAGGGTCTCCCTCTGTGGACTTTTTGTGGGGTTAATAAAGTGCTTAGTCACTAAAACTCTAAAGGACAAATATTTTTAACAAACAGTGGATCATTTTCAGATTAGCAGGGCTGGGCAGAACAGCACTGTACAAGATTTAGACACTCGGTATTTCTGAATGTACGCTTAAATACTCACTCAAAATAATAATATTTACACTTCATTATTAACCGTAATTATCTATGTAATTATGTATGACTGCAGTTCGGAATATCTCCAGTAGGTGGCAACAGTGTACTATCGGTCAGGCTGAAGCCCAGCTGCAGCTGTATGAGGCTACAGTGGAAGCCGTGATTAAAGTGCTCTCACTCAAATACGGCGATTAAAGGTCACGTGGATGTTAGAGGCGGTTTCACAGCAGAGGTGATGTGGCATGTGAGGTAATGATGGTGAATAATGAGGAGGCGGAGCTGAACGGAGACTGAAACCGGGGAGCGGCGACGCTCTGATAAACAGCAGGGGGTGCTCTGATAAACAGCAGGGGGCGCTCTCACAGCATTCACTACTTACAGTTTATCACACTTTAGTTCTGTTGACCTTTTTTACATCAGTAACAGCAGCTTAACTCACACTTTAATGCTATTTTTTAATGACGTAACAGACACGACAGCTGATTGTCGACTCTGGTTAATTAGCTTAAGGTTTTGCTGTAAAATAAGATAAGATTCCTAAACGAAGATCTGATTTACTTCTGTAATATGAACCTGTGTAACGTCTAATCTTGACCGGTCAGATCTTAACACTAAAAGAGAGGAAGTTTCTGTAATACAGGCTCAGAACTGAGAGTGTTTGTTGTATTTTAGCTGCTTGTTACAACATGAGGCATATTTTTATGGTTGAAGCAACAAGCTATGTTTTAGACCCAGAACGGGCGCCGAGTGGACGGGCAGTACTGAGGTGTAAGCCTTGTGTCTGACCCCGGCGGCTGAGCTGCTGAGTTTACACTGAGTTCTCCACCCCATGATGAGGCTCAGGTGCTGCTGGTCTGCAGGGCGTCTGTTAACCTCCACAGTGAGACTGAGATTAGAACCAACAGCTCAGCAGATGGACTCCAGCAGACTTTAACAGCAGCTGAAAGAAACTAGGAACACTCTCATTCTCCTGCTGCGCTGGGGAACCTTGTCACCGTGAGAGGAACCTCTAAACTAACCATGGAGATCAGGACCAGAACACCCCCCCCAGCACTGAGACACACTCTGACTCAGTCTAACTTGTTGACCAATATTGATCTATTAACGTCTATATATCTAGAGCTGCTGTTGTTTTGCTATAGACGCCATTCCCAAATCCTGGAAAGAGGGTTCTGCAGCTATACTGTAGACGTTCCATCATCATGATGTGTACGAGCGGTCTACGTGTGCTAGATTTGTTGTGTTTATTTACGAATATCTTTAAGTTCAAAGTCAGGTTCATACATATCTATCTATCTAGATGCCATTCCCAAATCCTGGAAAAAGGGCTCCGCAGCTATACTGTCTCTGTCAACAATCAACAACAATGTAAAGGATGTTTTATTCCTGCATGATCACACAACAATAACCTTTCATCACATCATAATAAAATTCCTCCTCCTACAGACGCTGATGTGATCTGGACTGAAAGTTCAGAATCTGGACTTTCCTCACAGTTTCTCTGCTGCTTTCAGTCAGAAATAGTTCATATAAACCCACAGTGTGAGTTTCTCTTTGTTACCACACAAAACATAAAAATAAAGGAGAAAAACGAGGCGACGGAGAAAAACTTCAACCTTTCTGTCGGAACATTTATTTACGAGTGAAGTTCAGAAGCTTTAGGAAACCCACCTTAAAGGGGAATTCCACCAATTTATCATGATTTCTCCACAACTGGGATGTAATCAGAGAGGTTCAGAGAGGTTTGGTGTGAAATGGTTCAGATGTCTTTACAGTGGTGGTGATAGGAACCAGGGGTCGCCATGACTACAACACAGATATAGACATTTTATTTACTATCCAGAACCACCAGTGAACCTACACGAGTCTTCTGAGTTTATATGGAATGTTGATGATGGAAAATAGTGGAAAATCTGAAATAATAAGTTTTCTTTGGGGACTATTTTGCCTCACAGCGCCCTGCATGTATCCCTCCACCATGAATACACTGCAAATAACAGAATAAGTGAAATTATTATGTTTCTCATGTTGAGGTTGTTAACTTTTTATTAGATTATCTAACTAATTTCCAGACTTTTTGGTCATTTTATCAAGTAGAATATCTCACTGTACTGTCAGATAGTTTTAATGTTTCAAGCACAATGATCTTCCAATTTAGTGAGAAATTACTAAAAACGAGTAAACAGTGTATAAAAAGAAGTGAAGTGATCTAATAAGCTAAACAATCTCAACATGAGAAATATCACATATATTGACCAGATTAATGTGTTTTAGGACCAAAAACTCCTAAAACTATCATAAAACAGTGTCTCAGTCATCAGGCAGTGAATTCATAACCATTTCATGTAGGAACTTTCTGTGAGGGAGCTTTTAGAGGTGGACGTCTGGTTCCTATCACCACCACTGTGAACAGTTCTGTAAGTTTATCTAGAACGCAGAACCTCTCTGAACGACTCTGTTTAATCTTAAACGTTTTTATGCAGGTATTTGGTAAAATAGGTGGAGCTCCCCTTTAAATATGACGACCAGGTCAAATCTACAGGGTGAAATGAGCTGAATAAGAAAAGAAAATCAGTGACTGTGTTTCATTAATCAATCCCAGAAACGTTACAATGATCTTATTCATTAATAATCTTGCTGTTTGATCAATTGATCATCTATAGGTCAGTTATAAAGAGTAATCAGTGTGATCAGCGCACTGAGAGTGATTTCACACACGCAGGTTACACATCCTCTACACTGAGTCTGCTGTTCCACTGTTCTAGTGTCTTTAGGACAGAACGCTTGACCTTCTGACGCCCCTGCAGGCCAGCAGGGGCAGATAGTGCCGGGAGTCTTTACCCAGAATCCCCTGGGAGCAGATAACCATGTGAAAGGGATGGATCTGTCCAGCAGGATTCCACGAACAGCTGTTTAGATGAAGTCTGGCTCCGCTCACGGTCAGAACTGTAAGAGGACTGGTCAGAGCTGAAACTCGGCCAAACTGGAACCTGAGGAAGCATCAAAGCCCCTACAGGCCACCAGGGGTCAGGAACAAAGAGTACTTACTGTACTTATACTTTTTCATTTTACTCACTACATTTCAAAAGAAAAATCTGTACTTTCTACACACTGTAATCTGGGATTATTTCTACGGTTCAATATAGCACAGGATTAATATAACCTGGAATTATTTCTACAGTTTGATACAGCACAGGATTAAAACAATCTAGGATTATTTCTATGGTTTGATATAGCACAGGATTTACATAATCTGGCATTACGTCTGGAGTTAGTTTTATAGGACAGGATTAATTTAATCTGTGATTTTTTCTACAATTAGTTTTATAGCATAAGACTAAAATAAACTAGGATCATTTCTACAGTGTTACTTTCATAGCATGGGATTTATAACCTGGGATTATATCTACAGTTCGATATAGCACAGGATTACTATACAATTAGATTATTTCTCCAGTTTGATATAGCACAGGATTAATACGAGCTGGGATTATTTATATGGCTCGATATAACATGGGATTAATATAACCTAGGATTATTTCTATGGTTCAATATTGCACAGAATTAATGTAATCTGGTATTACTTCTACAGTTCAATATAGCACAGGATTAATATAACCTGGGATTATTTCTACAGTACAGCTAACTCGGGTTCTAATGTCAGTGTTCTCACTTGTTCTCAGGAACCGCACTTACAGAACCAGAGCTCAGCTGAACTAGACCTTCCAGTGTGAACAAGCCTGAACCTCAGCAACCAAAACACCAGCGCTGGCTCATTTCAGTTCCAGAGAAAAACACCTTTATAACCTGATTTTACAGTTAAAAATGCCCCGATTTCACAGTGCAGTCCGTTTATCACCAACACCGGTCAGTTTTAATGACCGATGAGCAACTGAACATGCATTTGAACTGTTTTGGCAATGCAAAGTGGACAATAATAATAAGCCTTATGCTCACGCACTGCTGGTGATAAAATGACCACATGCTCTGGTTTCAGCATTATCTGGACAGCAGAGCGGCTAATGCGATGGAGAGGAAGCAGCAGCGGGTGGGATGGGCAGTTTACTGCACAGAGATGGTCAGGCTGACATGCACATTCAGGATCGTCAATAACACTGATCATCTTTTTTCATGATCCGATACTGAGCAGTACCATTCGACCACTTTCAAAAGTGAACATCAAACATCTAGTTATTATTATTATTATTATTATTATTATTATTATTATTACACTTAAAAAAAAAACATTCTCACCATTTTTGTAAGTATCGATACTTCAGTATTGATCCGCCCTTCCCTGATGCTCATGAGCACAGCAGCTTCGCAGCATGTTTATGTCTAATGCTGGTTCTTAATATATAATCTATTTTTATAATTAATCCCCATAAAGTGACAAATACAGTATGAAACCACGCTGTGCTCGTGCAACAAGTGTGCGGACCCATTTCCCTCGTGCTGCCTGTTCAGGATGCAAACCTTGATTTTTTTGCACTTATTTACACGCCGCAGCTCCGGGCTGCACATCACACCTGCACGCGCCTTTCACTAATCCGAGCGCTTAAATCAACAAAGCAGCTTCCAAAACAGCAGAAAAGCGCGCAAACCCGCCCAAACGCGCGCGGCGAGGCTTTTTCAGCACTCCAGCCGCGCGGCGAAGGAGCTCAAACGCAGCCCTGCAAGTCGGCAAAACGCTCGGCGTTCGGCGTGGCTCTCTCGCGCGCGCGCGCGCACTCACCCGGTATGGCGAGGTTGGTGAGCGGAACTGTGTGCAGGTTCTCCGGTAAAGTGGCCATCCAGTCCGCGTGCCGCAGCTCCGCTTTCCCCTGAGAGGAGGCCATGCTGCCGCGAGCCCAGAGCCCACACTGCCGCCGCGCGCTCCCGGAGACAACGCCGAGCCTTCGAGAGAATCACTCCGCTGAACCGACTCACCGCTAGTGAATCGGAGGAGCCGACTCTTTTCGCAGGTCCCAACTGATTCGCACTTTTTTTGTGTGCACGAGGTTCATGACCGTCTTGATGACAGAATAAAGTAAATGAAGATCATAATAACGCAGTTTATATTTTTATAAAACGTGTATGACGCAATGATTCAAATAATAACTAATTATTAAGCAACAATTATTTATATCGTATTATTTCATACATTGCTTTATAGGCTGGAGCACTCTAATAAAGTTGTAATTAAAAAATAATAATGTCATAAAATCAAAAAGTACCATGCATGACCGTTAAAGACTAAATAAACCCCAATTAATTTTTTTTACAATTTAACACCATACAGTTACAATATAAGATCCCATTTCAGAATACGATTCCTCTTTCTGTTGTTTGTTTATTCTGCCTTGCATGTGTGCGCGGTAAATAACTGTTTACAGAAGAGAAAACAGTTCACTAATCACCAATCACTAAATGTAAAGTCACTGTGTGGAAAGGAAATCAGAATGAAGTTGACTTGTGAATCAAATGAGTCGTTCGATTCATTTAAACGGAGAGACCGAAAGAATTGGTTCGGTAGAACTGAATAGACCGTCACTGTTCAGAGCGCTCGTAGCGCCACGCCCCCAAAACCACACACACACACACACACACACACACACACAGAGAGACACACACACACACACACACACACACACACACAGAGAGACACACACACACACACTTACCCCTAAAGCCCTGCGGTTACGATCAGATGAATCGATCCGATTGACCAGTTTGACTGATTCATTATGTAACAGCAGGAACCTCACGTAAACGTACACCCCCCCCCCACACCGCCCTTGATCCATCCTCAAAAATGAGTAACTCACGCTGTGACCACTTTATTAGACAAAAGACACACCCACACCTACTTCCACTCGCTGGCCACTTTATTAGAAACACCCCACCTACTTCCACTCGTTGGCCACTTTATTAGAAACACCCCCACCTACTTCCACTCGTTGGCCACTTTATTAGAAACACCCCCACCTACTTCCACTCGCTGGCCACTTTATTAGAAACACCCCCACCTACTTCCACTCGTTGGCCACTTTATTAGAAACACCCCCACCTACTTCCACTCGCTGGCCACTTTATTAGAAACACCCCACCTACTTCCACTCGTTGGCCACTTTATTAGAAACACCAACACCTACTTCCACTCGCTGGCCACTTTATTAGAAATGTCCCCTCCTACTTCCACTCAGTAGCCACTTTATTAGAAACACCCCCACCCAGTTCTGCTCTGTGGCCACTTTATTGGAAACACTAATAGGTGATACTGAAATGAGACACAGAAGCTCTTCCATCTGATGAGACACAAAATCTTTTATTATTTACAAAACAGAACTAAAGCGCTGATGTAAGTGAGGAATCAAAAGCTGCTGCTGCCGGTGTGTAAAATGGATTCATGCATAAAAGTCTGGCTGAAATCTGAGTGAACCGATCGGACGAGGAGGAAGAGATTCAGGTTTATAATGAACATGGAGAAGAATGAACCTTATCTGTTTATCTGGACACAATGTTTACCGTGTGCTCTACTGATGAGTCTCTGACACTGTAATCACTCTCTGACCTTTAGCTCTGCTCTGTATTCAGATCGTCTCACTGCAGAGCTCAGCTTCATACACACATTCAGAACCACACATTCTGGACGTTAATGTAATGTAGATCTCGGTCACTGCAAAACAACATGACACTGGCAAATAAAACCATCTTAATGTAGTCAAGATATCTAATATTTCTCATTTTGACTAACTGTAAGAATATTATAAGATTATTTAGATTGTCTAGACCATTTTCACCCTTTTTTAAAGGGCCGTTTCACTGAAAGTGAATTTTCTTTGTTTCGGTTTATTAATTCCATCTTTGTGATGCCACAAAAACCAACACATTTGCATATATCCACCCATTCAGCCTACAGCAGGTTAGCCCCGCCCATTCATGCTGAAATCACAAAGAGTCTTTCAGTCTGGGCTGCTTTTTGAACAAGGCAGCCAATCAGAACAGAGCTCATTTACATAATATGTTAGTCTTAAAGGCACAGTAATTAAAACAGTCTGTTTAATTGGATAAAGAGAGGCTGTAAAATGATCAAATAGAAATGAATTATGACTTTTAACCAAAACAATCTTATAATATTCTTACAACAATCTCAAAATGAGAAATATTAGATATTTGGACCAGATTTAAGATGGTTTTACTCACCAAAGTTAAATTTATTGCACTGCATTTTCCTGCAAGAGCGTTAAGTTGCTTGATGGCTGATTGTTTCTCGTCTTCTGAGTGAAATTCCGGAGATATCGGAGCGTTTCGGCTCCAGCGTCAGATCTGCTGCATTGGCTTTAAATTAGGAGAGACCTGTTTAAAAAGAGAGAAAACAAAACATTAAAACTTCTCCACTTCTGTGCTCGTTCTGAGTCTCGCAGGGGCAGACCTCGTAACCAGAACGTCTGGGGAGAACCGTGAGGAATTCTGGGCTAAATGTGGGAATGCAGACTTACTACAAACTGAGAGTGAAAATTCAGAACCAATCCAGCGCCTTGTGAAGGAGAAGCTCACAGTAGGGGGCGCTGGTGTGTTCGTCAACACTGTCCAATGTGCCGAAATTTTAATTTAAAATTACAAAAGTCTAAATTTTCAAATTTACAATGCGACAAATTTTCTCATTTCAAATATTTCACTTTCCGATGCACCAAAATTTGCACTGTTTGGATCACGGTTCCGATCCCAGTTTCAGAATCGTTACAGCCCTAGTTAGAATAAACCAAACTGAAAACACGGGGATTCCCTCTCCCCTCATACGGCAGATTAACAGAGTTTCACTAGCTGAGCTTGTGTGGTTACTGACTGAACTCGGTGTTAAAAAGAGTACAGAGCACAGGAATCTGGGGGCGGGGCTTACAGAGGGTATAACTTTTAGGGGCCAATTTCAGCAAAATCCAGCGCCAAGTCGTCCCCAGAAGCGTGTTCTTATTATTAGATTTGATCCTGTGAGACAACACTGTTCTATCAGAACCATCCTGAGATGTTCAACACTGTAATAAACACAACAAACAACTAATTTATTTACAAACAAAAGAAAAAAATGTGACGGTACTGTAATCTCCAAGCTCCGCCCACAAGTGGGTTCTTTGGCTGTAAATGTAGGTACTGTGATATAAACTGAGCCTGTTCTACAAACTTAACAAGGGTTCTTTGGTAAAGAAAATGATTCCGTATAGAACCATGAACACTCAAGGAACCCACTGCATTTTTAAAGGGTTCTTTGGACTGATGGAGAATGTATTGCATGCGGTTCTATGAAGAACCTTTTTGAAAAAGGTTCTATGTGGCACAAAATGGGTTCTTCTAGTGTTACGAGCTTTACATTGTAATAATAGCAGAACCTTTTCTGGTGCTGTATAGAACCCTTTTCAAAAAGGTTCTACATAGAACCATGAACACTCAAAGAACCATTTGCATGATTAAAGGATTCTTTCCATGGTGAAATGGTTCTTCAGACTGATGGAGAATGTGTTGCGTATGGTTCTATATAGCACCAAGAAGGGTTCTGCTATTGTTGCAAGCTTGACATCTTAACAGAGGAACTCTTTCTGGTGCTATATAGAACCCTTTTGAAAAAAGGTTCTATACAGAAACATCTACAGCACATTCTCTATCAATCTTAAGAACCCTTTCACAATGCAAAGAACCTTTGCATGATTAAAGGGTTCTTTGAGTGTTCCTGGTTCTATATAGAAACATTTTCAATACTAAAGAACCCTTGAAGAACCATCTTTTTAAGTGTGGACAGCTTCTCATTAGGTTTAATGGGATCTTGTATCTGCGTTCTGTAAACCTCACAACAGTACAAAAGAACACATTAGTGGGCGGAGCCTGGAGGAACTGTTCTACTTGTGAACAGAATTGGTGCTATTCACTACACTTCCCAGTATGCATCACTCACCTCAAAGTCTGCGCCTGTGCACTTCCTAATGTCATCTGGAGTTAACCCCTCCCACACTTCAATCAGGGTCAGGCCTTTGTTCCTGTCCACATCAAAGACGGCCTGGGGAGGACAAAAACAGCGTCCATCACAGACACGTCCCTCACCACCCCAGCGGTCACTCTTTCAGCTGGAACGTCATTGTTTTATATGAGGATGCGGATATTCAGGCTTCAAGAGGAGCTGTTTTTAGCTATGCTAATGAACTTTAGTCCATGTTTATAGATAACAGTGTCAGAATCTGCATAATCAAGTCTATTAAAGGGCTCATTTAAACCCCCAGGGAGCCGAAATCTGTGTTTCCTTCTCTGCAGGTTAATCTCGCCCTTGTGGGCCACGTCAGACACATACAGAGCATTTCCTGTGAACATCCACTGAACAGCTGATGTATTTCTCTTTCCTTTACTGTGTCGTATCTGTTTGTGCATGTAAACGTTCTACAGAGTCCCAAAGCTCAGCGTTCCCTCCAGAGGGAGAGACTCTCTCCCACAGAACCCACTGTTCTCCGCTGCCTGAAACGCCTCGTTGGAATTCCAGCCCTTTTTTTCCTTTGTTACAGGATGACATCATCTCGTAACACAGTCCTTACTGCCCGCCTCCAGGCCAGCTCCGCCCCCTCATGCAGCGCACAGCGGCTACTGGAGGAGGACTGATGCTGACCAGACTTTCAGGATCCACTCTGGATCAAACTGATCCAGCAGAACCGACGCCGCTGGAGAAACAGCCACAGTGGAGTTACAGCTGCTCAGGAGAGAAGGGTCTGTCTGCAGACTGCAGGACAGGGGCGGAACCTGGAGGGGGGAACAACTCTGGAGGCTGACCGATCAGAACAGAGTGGAAGAGCTGACCAATCAGAGCACACTGGGTTCATTGGGAGGCGGGGCTTAAAAACACAGGAGCTCAATCAGAGCGTTTCAGACAGAGGGGGAATAGATAATCATGAAAATGAATATAAAAATTAAATTATGAACACTAAAAATGAGAATAACAGGTCTGTGTTCTCCTACAGTCCCTCTGTGTTCTAATCAGAGACCCGTCTGTCTGATTATTCCTCCCCACTTTGCTCACACCATTGCAATTATTTCTGCTTTAGTGGTGTAGCAGGCTGGGACTGTTGGACGTCAATCAAGCACACTCATTAGAATATTAGGCCACGCCTAGATAGTTATCAGATCAGAATATTTAACATAACACTCAATGTTAGTATCATACAAACATTTTTGATGTTTTACACTGGGATTTTAATAACGATTTGAGGTCAGTGTGAGGTCAGAGACTCAGGCTTGAAGTTAGCATCATGCTAACTGGTGGGGTATAAGCTTTCATTACCTGTTAGCCACATTAGCCTCATAGCTCCAGTGCTAAAACTAAAGAAGCAAAACTTCAGGCGCCAAACATGTCTCAGCTGATACAATTGGGCGGTTTGATTTCTTGCTGAACTATCGCTTTAATTGTTATACTGCACTGCTTTTTAACAGAGCAGGATTGACTGGCTGTCTGATGCACTGTGAAAATGTCATTGCAGCTTTATAGCAGCTTTATAGCAGCTTTATAACTGCTGGTCTCATTTAAACGACACCAAACTGGCGCTTTAAGGGTTCTGTAAGTGTTTGAGCGAGTGCTAAAACGCTCTGCATGGTTCTTTAGCGCTTTTTTCCAGCCACTCCCTCCTGATTGAGTGGGTGGATGGAGCCTGAATAGCACCAAACAAGCGTCTTCCAAGATATTTCTCACAAATCATCTATTCAGCCTGCTTTAGCGAGCACACTCACACCGGCTCTCTTCATGGGCATCGCAGGGAACGTTTATTCTGGGAAAAAACGCTAAACAAATGGAGTCGAGCCACAGCAGTGTCAGTACTGTCTCCAGAGAAAGGGCTCAGGGAGATCTCCTCCAAACCAGCCAAGCACCAAAAACAACATCTAATAAAAGAGCCTGGCTTCAGAAAACAGCCGGTTCAAAGGAGACACCTGAGCCGAGGGAGCGGCCGGTTTAGCTTCCTTTAGCTCTCAGATCCAACCTGAACAGACGGACACAGAGGAACCCAAAGACTTTATACGCAAAGAAAAACCTTCAGCAGCACCACAAACCGCTTCCCCAGCACTGTGGGACTAAAGCATGCTGGGTAATGTGCTGTGTGCTCACCTCATGATTGAGTCACATAAACTGGGACGTTAAATTTAGTAATAAAAAAACATGCAGCAAAACTGCAAAATTCTACTGTATTCTACTGAATAAATATTCATATATGTTCAGTTTAGCCCCGCCCCTTCAGCCTACAGCAGTTTAGCCCCACCATTCAGCTACAGCAGTTTAGCTCCACCATTCAGCTACAGCAGTTTAGCCCCACCTATTCAGCTACAGCAGTTTAGCCCCACCATTCAGCTACAGCAGTTTAGCCCCACCCATTCAGCCTACAGCAGTTTAGCCCCACCTATTCAGCTACAGCAGTTTAGCTCCACCATTCAGCTACAGCAGTTTAGCTCCACCATTCAGTCTACAGCAGTTTAGCCCCACCCATTCAGTCTACAGCAGTTTAGCCCCACCTATTCAGCCTACAGCAGTTTAGCTCCACCATTCAGCTACAGCAGTTTAGCTCCACCATTCAGTCTACAGCAGTTTAGCCCCACCCATTCAGTCTACAGCAGTTTAGCTCCACCATTCAGTCTACAGCAGTTTAGCCCCACCCATTCAGCCTACAGCAGTTTAGCCCCACCATTCAGCTACAGCAGTTTAGCCCCACCATTCAGTCTACAGCAGTTTAGCCCCACCCATTCAGCTACAGCAGTTTAGCTCCACCATTCAGCTACAGCAGTTTAGCCCCACCATTCAGTCTACAGCAGTTTAGCCCCACCCATTCAGTCTACAGCAGTTTAGCTCCACCATTCAGCTGCAGCAGTTTAGCTCCACCATTCAGCTACAGCAGTTTAGCCCCACCATTCAGTCTACAGCAGTTTAGCCCCACCCATTCAGTCTACAGCAGTTTAGCTCCACCATTCAGCTACAGCAGTTTAGCCCCACCATTCAGTCTACAGCAGTTTAGCCCCACCCATTCAGTCTACAGCAGTTTAGCTCCACCATTCAGCTGCAGCAGTTTAGCTCCACCATTCAGCTACAGCAGTTTAGCTCCACCCATTCAGTCTACAGCAGTTTAGCCCCACCATTCAGTCTACAGCAGTTTAGCCCCACCATTCAGTCTACAACAGTTTAGCCCCACCATTCAGTCTACAGCAGTTTAGCCCCACCCATTCAGCTACAGCAGTTTAGCCCCACCATTCAGTCTACAGCAGTTTAGCTCCACCATTCAGCTACAGCAGTTTAGCTCCACCATTCAGTCTACAGCAGTTTAGCCCCACCATTCAGTCTACAGCAGTTTAGCCCCACCATTCAGTCTACAGCAGTTTAGCCCCACCATTCAGTCTACAGCAGTTTAGCTCCACCATTCAGCTACAGCAGTTTAGCTCCACCATTCAGTCTACAGCAGTTTAGCCCCACCATTCAGTCTACAGCAGTTTAGCCCCACCATTCAGTCTACAGCAGTTTAGCTCCACCCATTCAGCTACAGCAGTTTAGCCCCACCATTCAGTCTACAGCAGTTTAGCCCCACCCATTCAGCTACAGCAGTTTAGCTCCACCATTCAGCTACAGCAGTTTAGCTCAATTCAAATCTTAATAGTCATTAATAAACTATTAAACACTGGCTGAGCTGCTGTTTATTAGTCTGTTATTATAACATGATATCAAATCAATCTTAGTGTGAAGACGCCTTAAAGCAGAAACACAGTTCAGTCAGAAACCATCTCTCACTGCTGTCTAACTCGCCTCAGCACAGTGAGGAGAGCAGTAACTGAGCAGAGTCATCACCAACTCCTCAGCACACCCACCTCAAACTCCTGCCTGACTACTCTCCAAACACCACCACACACCTGACTGAAACACCTTTAACCATCCAAACACCACCACACACCTGACTCAAACCCCTTTAACCACCCAAACACCACCACATACCTGACTCAAACCCCTTTAACCACCCAAACACCACCACACACCTGACTCAAACCCCTTTAACCACCCAAACACCACCACATACCTGACTCAAACACCTTTAACCATCAAACACCACCACACACCTGACTGAAACACCTTTAACCATCCAAACACCACCACACACCTGACTCAAACCCCTTTAACCACCCAAACACCACCACACACCTGACTCAAACACCTTTAACCATCCAAACACCACCACACACCTGACTCAAACACCTTTAACCATCCGAACACCACCACACACCTGACTCAAACACCTTTAACCATCCAAACACCACACACCTGACTCAAACACCTTTAACCATCCAAACACCACCACACACCTGACTCAAACACCTTTAACCATCCAACCACCACACACCTGACTGAAACCCCTTTAACCATCCAAACACCACCACACACCTGACTCAAACACCTTTAACCATCCAAACACCACCACACACCTGACTCAAACACCTTTAACCATCCAAATACCACCACACACCTGACTCAAACCCCTTTAACCATCCAAACACCACCACACACACCTGACTGACACACCTTTAACCATCCAAACACCACCACACACCTGAATGAAACACCGTTAACCATCCAAACACCACCACACACCGGAATGAAACACCATTAACATCCAAACACCACCACACACCTGACTCAAACACCTTTAACCATTCAAACACCACCACACACCTGACTCAAACACCTTTAACCATCCAAACACCACCACATACCTGACTCAAACCCCTCTAACCATCCAAATACCACCGCACACACCTGACTGACATATCTTTAACCATCCAAACACCACCACACCTGAATGAAACACCTTTAACCATCCAAACACCACCACACACCTGAATCAAACACCTTTGACCATCCAAATACCACCACACACCTGACTGAAACACCTTTAACCATCCGAACACCACCACACACCTGACTCAAACACCTTTAACCATCCAAACACCACTACACACCTGACTCAAATACCTTTAACCATCCAAACACTACCA